AATGTTGCACATAAGACTAATGGATAAGAAGAGAAACGAGTGGATAAGAGAGAAAACAAAAGTGAGGGATGTTAGACAAGAAGTTGCAAAATTGAAATGGAGATTTGCCGGACACAATATAAGACGAAAAGAAGACCGATGGAACAAAATTCTTATAAGTTGGGGACCGTGGTAATATAAACGAAGCAGAGGAAGGCCCCAAATGAGATGAGCAAATGATATCAAGAAGCACGTGGGCTCTAGATGGATGACTGTCTGCGACAGACAGAGAAGAATGGAAAAGGATTGGGGAGACCTATGTCCAAAGATGGACCAAAGAAGTCTAATTAGATAGATAGATAGATCTACTTAATATTCAATTATGGATTTTGTTAAAATGGATTGCAGCACTGAACATTTAAGGAGCATATTTAATCAGAGAATATCTTCAAAATATTTTGATTTTCATAAATGTCACTATCTTTACTTAATTTGATTCTTCTTCTTAGAGTGCCGTCTCCCTACGGAGGTTGGCAATCATAATGGCTATTTTTATTGTAGAACTTGCTGCTCTAAACAAATCAATCGATCTGCATTGGTACCAATCACGTAGATTCTTTAGCCGTGAGTTCTGCCTTCGGCCAACAGATCTTCTTCCTTGAATCTTTCCCTGTATTATCAGTCTCAAAATTTCATATTTTGGTCCCCTCATCAAGTGGCCTAGATATTCCAGTTTTCTGTTTTGTATAGTGGTGATTAGTTCTGTTTCTTTACCAACCCTCTCCAGTACTTCTTCATTTGTAATTCTATCAGTCCATGATATTTTCAATACTCTGCGGTATAACTAGAGTTCGAAGTCCACGATTCTTTTTAAATTACATTTTTTTAATGTCCAAGTCTCAGCTCCATATAATAATATTGAAAATATATAACAGCAAATGGTACGTAGTCTGATCTCTAAATTTAGATTTTTGCACGTTAGGAGTGGCTTCATTCGTATAAATGGTAATCTGGCAATCTCTATTCACCTGTTTATTCCTACAGTATGATCATTGGTTTCATTGATCAAAGTTCCCAAATACTGATATTTTTTTACTTGTTTTATCACGTTACCATTTATTGTCAATAGGTGATGTATATTTTGTGGCCTTTTTGTAATCATCATGTACTTCGTTCTTTTTTAGCGTTTATAGTAATTTTCATCTCAGCACTATTTATACTCAAGCTTTCGATAAGATGTTGTAGATCCTCTATACTCATTGCTATGATCACAGTGTCGTCTGCATATCTTAAATTATTAATTAATTTTCCGTTAACGGCGACTCCCGCTTCGATATTATTGAGCATGTTTTGGAAAATTTCTTCAGAATATAAGTTAAACAAAAGTGGTGATAAAACACATCCCTGTCTAAATCCTCTACAGATCCTCATTTCTTCTGAGTGTTGCCCATCAATTTGAACTATGGCACTTTGGTTCCAATATAATGTGTGCACTATATTTCTGATTTTACTGTTAATGCGCTTATTCATAAGTATTGATATTAGTTTTTCATGTCTTACTTTATCGAAAGCTTTTTCGTAGTCAACGAAGCACAAGTGTAGATCAACATTTACATCCTACATCGCTGAATCAATATGTTGATGGCAAATAGTCCTTAGTCCTAGTCTCGCTAATATCCTCCTCTAGCCTTTCGTACATTCTCTTATGTATTATTTTTAGCAGAACTTTTAAAGTATGACTCATGAGGCTCAGTGTTCGATGATCAGAGCACTCTTTTGCTACTTGTTTTTTTAGGGATGGTTATAAATGCTGACTTCAGCCACTCTTGTGGTATTATTCCCGTGTCGTACACAGTGCTGAATAAATCTGCCAATACTTCCAAGTTATCCTTTTCCACTAGTTTTAACAGTTCTACTGGCATTTCATCTAATCCAGCTGCCTTATTTTCTTCAGAGTTTTTGATAGCATATTTGATTTCATCTATCGTGATCTTCTGCATCTATAAAGGAATTAATTCTTGTATTTTCTGCATTTCACCTCTTTCATCTTGACAAAGTTCTCTAACGTACTCCTTCCATCGCCTTAACTTCTCTGGTAAATCTACTAGTAGTACTCCTATTTTGTCTTTTATGTGTCCTTGCTGTCTATTGCGACCCATTCCAGTCACTTCTCTAATTTTTTTGTGCATATTTCTTTGTGCATTTTCTTTCTAAAAGATCTTCAGTTGTGCAACTGAAGATCTTTTCCTTTATATTTCCTTCTTTCTTACATCAGTAATAGTATTTCTTCTATCATCCAGTATTTTTAGCCTCTGATTTATGTTCTATTAAACTTTCTTGAGCTGGTTTCAGTAATGTGTTTTTTATATTACACCACTTTTTATTAACATATATTAACATTCACATTATTTTTTAATTCGTTTTTTATTTCTTCGTTTTGTAGCATTCTTACGTTAATTTTTAGTTGTTGTTTTCTGAGTTCAATTCTTTTTAATTTTATTTTCACGTCACCCATTAATGGATTGTGGTCTGAGTTAACATCTGCTCCAGGATAAGTTTTAACTGAGGTTATAGAGTGTTTATATCTGCTATTTACGAGTATAAAGTCTATCTGGTTTCTGACAATGTGGCTTTCTGTATGTGAAGGAGACGTCCATGTATTTCGTCCAATTACTATATTCTTTTCTTGGCAGAATTCAATGAGATTTTCTCCTCTCTCGTTTCTAGTTCCTAGTCCGAACTTAATTTGGTTACATTCCTCGTTTTAGATATAGTTTATGTATTACCAAAACTTTTTAGAAAAAATGTGATTTTTGGAATTTGTTTAAAAATATTGCTTAAACAATTTCTGTCCAAAAATTTTGCCCGCCACCCTCCAGATTTGTTTATAGGAGACATTTTTTAAATCTAGATCCAACAATTTCTTTATGTCTGATTTTTATTAGATTTGTTTACTTCTAGCAGTTATTTATTTCTGATTAACTTATATGTTCGTATTTTTCGTTATGACCTATGAAATACATGAAACGCCTATGCTTTGCAGCGTTAGTATTTTTCTCCTGGAAAATTATCAGCTAGTAATAAAGACACTTACACAAATCGAAACCTCTGTATCGAACTGGGACCAGTTTCGAAACTGTCATGTCATATCAATTACCGTGTCCCCTATTCCCGAGCACCGACTGATACGCTTCGTAGCGATGAGCTTTCACGTGCATTACACATGAGATTCTGTCATAATCAGAGAGGTAGCTTCAGCTGTGGATTGTACTGCAAAGTTTAGAGAAGCTCATTGTGTCGTCCCCGGGGTAAGCTAATCTTCCGAACAATACCTTTCGCTCAAATGAACAATAAGACGAAGACAATATACAAATGAGTTCTTTTTGTATTGATGAAGGACAAGGTATCTACGTAATTGCTTATTTTGCAAGTAAAAGCGACTTGTAGAAACTTATAGTAATTAAAATGTACGGTATAAATTCGAATAAATCTTATAAATCAAACCAAAAACATGGTGTGATACTACGATAGAAATAAAACTATATTTAAATAAGATCAAGTCTTGAACAGCAGGCTTTTTTGAACAGAATTTTCTTATTATTACTATTTTTTATACAGAGTGGCCCAAAAGTCTGGAAACGGCTAATTATCTAGTAAATTACTAGACATAATTATACAAAATTTGGGGTACACCTATTTTGGGATACGGAGATTCCATATTTGATATTTACAATGTTGCCAGATTTTCAGTTTCTCTTATATTATTAGTAACTTTAATTTTTCAAATACATCACCCTGTATATTCAGTCATAATTCGAATCTCCTATTCAATACGAGTTCAACCATATGTAACACTTATGATTTTATGTAGTCTGGAATGTCTTAAATACATAAAACAGAAGTCTGGCAACGCCTAAATTGTTTCAATACATTTTTTAATACTAACTATTTTGAAATACATTAAAACGTAACAATTGATAGTTTAGAATATTTTTAACATAATAGTTACGTTATTAAGTGTTCAAAATGTGCTCCATTTGTGAGTTGACAGCACTCTAATCGATGGTAGAATGCGTCTACCACATTTCTCCATGATTGTCTAGAAATTATTCGAGATTCATCGATAATTCTTTGCCTTAGCTATGCAAGACTGGCTGGTTAAGTTTTGTAAACTAAATTTTTCAAGTATCCCTAACAAAAATAATCTTTAGGATTAAAATCGGTTGAACGTGGAGGCCATTCAATTATACCTTGTCTACCAATTTATCGTCCAGGAAATATCTCATCTAAATATCGCCGAACATTTACACCAACTATCTGACGTTAAATTTCTTTCGACAAAAAATGACCCAATTGAATAAGTAACTACTATATATGACCATACATTTAATTTGCATTTTCCTTCATTAATTTTTACATTAAATTTTTCTAGAGGTGAAAGAACAATAATTACATTATTGTGACAATTTTTAAGACATGTACCCTAAAATATATCATCGATATAGCATGTGGTGTTTGGTATACCTGCAAGAATATTTTCCATTACTGTCTGAAAAAGTCCAGGTGCTGAGCTAATGCCATATTTTAATCGATTAAATGTAAATAACCTTAAGTGTGTGTTGATGGTGAGTAACTCTCTTGATTTTTCACTAACTTCTAGTTGCTAATAAGCTCCCTTTAAATCTAAGACTATAAAAACCTTATTTCCCGACAATTTTGAAAATATGTCCTCTGGTAGAGGTAATACACAGTGATCTGAGTAAAATACAAAATAATTTATAAATATACACACAAACACACACTTAATAATCAAATATATAATTTAGATATAATAAACATACATATAAAAATAAATAACAAAGTTTGTCAATATGATACACCAGAGACGAAACCTAAACTTACAAGTCAGATTACAGTCAGACAAACTATTGGTTATATTAGATTTTGTTTATTTCACATGTTACTTAACATATACACTTACATTAGTTTTTTTATTTCAGAAATGTTGACTACGTGACATGATGAACAACTCAGACTACTATCCCTGGGTGTTCCAAAACGCAAGCTACTACAACTTGGAAAACTGGACAGGAAACTACAGCCAGGAATATCTCGACGCTTGGGAAAAATGGACTGAACTTATTCAAGATCGAGCTGTAGTCGTCAGTCTTTTACTGCTCTTCTCGATGTGTACGGTTTTCGGTAACATGTTGGTCATTCTCGCAGTTATTCGGGAGAGATACCTTCATACTCCAACAAATTATTTTATTACGTCTCTAGCGGTTGCGGACTGTTTGGTGGGGTTGGTAGTGATGCCTTTCAGCGCTCTATATGAAGTACTTGGTCACACCTGGTTTTTTGGAGCAGATTGGTGTGATATTTGGAGAAGTTTAGATGTTCTATTTAGCACGGCTTCTATACTTAACTTGTGTGTCATATCTTTGGACAGGTATTGGGCTATTACTGATCCTATAACCTATCCCATGAGAATGACGAAATTGCGCTCAATGTTACTTATTGCTGCTGTCTGGGTTTGCAGTAGTGCTATATCATTTCCAGCTATCGGTTGGTGGAGAGCTGTGCGAAATGCTCCAATACCAGCGTTTACCTGTCCATTTACAGAACACCTGGGATACCTAATATTTTCTTCCACGATTTCATTCTACTTGCCATTATTCGTGATGCTCTTTACTTACTTTAGAATATACAGAGCAGCTGCAGCTCAAACTAAGTCATTAAGGTTAGGTACGAAACAAATACTACTCGGTTCTGGAGAGCTGGAGTTAACTCTAAGAATTCACAGAGGTGGTACATGCAAAGCTCCAGAATCCAGACTATACTCCACACAAGAAGACGAACCTCTAACAGCTCTTCAAAATAACGGTCTCTCTCGAGTAGCTTCAACGAGGCTTAATCCGCACAGCAAAAACTTCTCACTAAGCAGAAAACTAGCCAAATTCGCAAAGGAAAAGAAGGCAGCTAAGACATTGGGTATAGTGATGGGAGTGTTCGTGGTTTGTTGGTTACCGTTTTTTGTAGTGAACTTGTTGTCGGGATTCTGTTTGCAGTGTATTAGCCATGAACGTATTGTGCTTGCCGTGGTTACGTGGCTGGGATGGATCAATTCAAGCATGAATCCGGTGATCTATGCTTGCTGGAGCAGAGATTTTAGAAGGTAAGAACGTAAAACATAGTAGTGTTATATTAAATCATACTTTTTAATTGATAAGACAAAAATTACCATTATTTTCTCGTAAACTAATTAAATACTGAACAAATTATATTTTATAAATATAAATATAATTTGTTCATTATAAATAATTAATATTTTATATTAAATAATTAATATTTTAAACAAAATCGGAAAACCTAATTTAGTATAATTTCCGTTTGTTTTAATTAAACCATATTTCCGCTTCATGAAAGAGCTAATAATTACTTTTTCCTAGAATACGTTTTTACATTGTAACATTTTTAAAATTAAACAATTCCAGAAACTGGTTGGTGTATTTGCCCACGCAAAGTGGGATGAATTTTTTTATGGTAATATTCCACGTGCTGTTTGTGGAGGAGTATAGCGTTTCGTTTCGTGACTGCCTGTCGTTTTGCGGCATAACAGTCATGAAATCTGAAGACAAAAAAAAATTATTGAGTAATTAACAACAGGTTGCAGGAGTTGTTTGGTTGCCTGTTTCTAGTGACCGGGTACGTATTTTACAAAACTGAGATTTACTTAAAAATCGTTGATTAACATATCAATTAAATAAATAATGAAATTATCACTCTTCTTAAATAATTTATACTCAGATGCAAAAAAAACGCAAAGGAGAAGATTGTTGTCAAATTCAAAGTATTTCAGTATTTTTATTTTTAGCCTTATTTTAATGATTTTTTTAGCACACGGTGTATAAATTTATAAATTTTAATTTAGTATAGTGAGTTTTTTAATAAAATTTTGCATTTGATTTATTATACGGGTTTAATCGAAAGGTGGTTTTTATCCTAATTTTGAAACATTCTGTATAATAATTCGGTTAGCGGTTTTTCGTAGAACCTTGTTTTTCGATTGCAACAATGTCTTCTTAGTATTATGTTGTTTTTTTATATGTAAAAATATAGATTAGTTCATATTTAGGAGCGAAATAACTTTGCCACTCACAATTTACGACTTTTCCCATTATTACCATTATCTTTTGTATTAATTTAAAATAAAACGATAGGGGCTTTGGTGACTTAACCAAACTTAACTAAACCTAACTAAAACATAAAAAACAACTTAAATGTACGTTCTATTGCCTCCTTAGCCTCTATAACTGCCTCTACACATCGGCTTATGCTGTTGGTTGAAAATATCATCTTGCTGGATTTTTTGCCACTCCCCTTCTAGAGCCAAGCGAAGTTCGTTAATTCATACTGATGCGACTTCGCGACTTCTAATATTTCTACCAAGCATGTTTCAAACGTGCTCTATTGGGTTCAGATCTGGCGAACACGCTGGCCAGTTCATTTTGTTAATATCAACTTTCTCTAAATATAGCGTGACACACATTGCAGAGTGGTGTCGAGCATTATCGGACATTAATATAAATTCATCGCCGATATATTGAGAAAAGGATACTACCTGAGATTTTTTCAATATACTGGTGTGCAGTCAATGAACCCTCAATAAATAAAATTCAATGTGTGCTTGAAATCCGCAGAGATGCAATCCGCATTTCTTTTTTGCATCTGAGTATATACGAGATGAGACAGCTTCCGAAAATTTAATTTACATCAATATTTTTATGTGATTTAACAAAAAATATGCACAAAAAACACACCAATATGATGGTCATCTCACAAAACTTAATAACATTAGTCCCGGTGCAAAAATTTAATATCTATCAAATGTATGGATTTAGAAAAGATAGAGGCACCTGAACATCAATGACTAGCATTAGCAGAGAAATACTCCGAGTGAGAAAATTCCAAAGTGTATAAAGTTGGAAATGAGAATTGAGAAGCAGTTTTTCTTTTTTCATGTGCAGTTTCAATTTCGAAGTTTGGCTATGATTGCCATTTGAATCTCAGATAAAGCTGTCTGGAACATTTGACTGGAGTTAAAACCAAACCACTCACTTAAATTTAGCAGCAAAGACATGTCGCTACTTCCTATACTCCTTTTTCTTATAATTTTTACCTAAATTATGCTTCGTGGAAGTTAAAATTTGCTTTTTTTTAAGTTTTAGACTTTTATTGTTTAACAGTAATTCTTTTTCTTTTCTTGTTCTTTTTGGTATCTCTGCATTTGATATTTTATCGGTCATGGATATTTTCAATATCCTTCTATAAGTTTATTATTCGAAACTTTAAAGTTTCAAGTTTGCGAGAATGATCTGGTGCATTGTACAAAATTAAAACTGTTTTGAAAGTCCAAATTATTTGATTTTAAATCAAGTTTCGAAACCAGTCACAAAAAATCACGCTTGTAACCCACGCTTTCTTATTAGCAGGCCAAAAAAAACTGGCAGGTCGTCGTTGTTTTGATTTTTAAACAAATGAAAATTTAAAAATGTATAACGCATTAATTGTTTAATAACACAATTTTCAGATGCAATAGAAAAAAGCAGCAGTGTAACTTTATATTTCGTATTTTGAATTTTCCTTCATGAAAGTGCAGTTTTGTCTACATTAATAACTTGCTTAGATGTATATCCTTCATCAGCTATCTAACTCGGAAATTCTTTTGAATATTTTTCTGCCGCAACAGTGTCTGAAGATGCAGCTTTTCAAACGATTTTAATGTTATGCAATGATTGTCGCATCTTAAATTTATTGAACCAATCCGGTATCAAATTTATTGAAGCAACCGATACTTGAAATCTTCCATCCATGTATTTACCATCACCATTACCACCAGGTTCTTTAAAATGTGCTTAAAGATCCCTTGCTTGTCCCGGACCATTGGACCAATCAGAAGCACCCTTTTTTAGTTGCAGTCTTAGATTGATAATGACAACGCCACTTTCATTTTCACCACAAATTTTTTTGGCATCAAGTATTTTTTTGTAACAGGAAAAGTGAAACAATAAAACACGCAATGTGGTTCTTACCAAAAGACGGAATGTCCAATTGTGGCAAAACTTAATACTTTATGTTTTAACTAATAAGTTTATTTTACCAAAACATTCTGTTTGTTTACAATTTGAAAAACCTCTATCTGGGCGAAAGCGCTTTACCTCAAAGAAACCAAACAAATAACGCAGATAACTTGGTTGTAATAAGGTCAATTTTATTTTTTTATTGGTGTACTTAGGTGCCGAATAATTTTTATTCAGCTCTATGTGTGTACTGATTCGATCCACGAATAAAGTTATCTAGGCCTGTTGAGCTTAAAAGAATTAATTATTATTGATTTAGTGGTTTAAATATTAAAAATAAATTGTAAATGCATAAAAGCTCGTTACCTGGTGCTTCAGCAAAAATAACAAACCATGAAGTTGCTCAATTAATTAAATTTATTAGGTTAGAGAAGTGAAATATCTTTTATAAAGAATTCCAAAATATCGCAACTGCCATCCCATTCTGGAAACGATTCTGGTTAAAAAGAAACGTCAACAGAAACAAAAAGCTTCTCTCCTCTAAAAGCTCATTGAGCCGGCACCGATTAAAAGCTTCCTCTGTAAGTGTATCAGTAAAATGTTCGAATAAAACAAACCCCATTCAGTCTTTTCTTCGTTTTAATTTGTACTTTTGTGAAGTAAACATTTCATCTAGAGCTTAATCCTTTCACAATTAATGGTTAACAAGCAAATTCAAAGACGATTTAATTCGAAATCGTTGCGAAGTTATGGGCTTTTAAAAAATCCCGACGATAAAAATCTCTCAAACATGCAAATCCGCATAAAACGAATTATATCGCAGAGTAATTGTGGGAAATTGTGCTTTTATATTGTAAAGAGGGAATTTGCAAGTAGAAAGTATCGAAAATATTTGATGGAAACTTTCCAGCGCGATGGTTAACAGTTTCGTTTATGGGTTTTAGTTTCCTTAATGCTATTTGAAGTAGAAAAATATAGAGAGTTTATTCTACTGTAAGATTTAAAGTAGAGACTCAAAGCCTGCAAATACGTATGTTGTAAGCATATATATATATATAAAGGAATCATAAATAGAAATAATAGAGTTAGAGGTTTGAGTGAGGTTTATATTATAATTTTATATTATACAGGGTTATTCAGGTTATCCTACACGAAAGTATATGATTTCAGATGGCATTAATTTGCATATTATTGGACTAGGACAAATATCAAAATGTAAAGTTACTTCAGAAGCTACGGCTTTCCTTTCAACAAGTTTAATATTCAGCGATGCAACTGAGAGCAAGTTTTCTGGTGATCGACGCCGATACAGCGGATTCCCATCGTTGCCAGTGACAGTCTCCGCCGTTAATTTCCGTGGATATCGTTTAGAGCACTTTCCATCGACCATGAAAGGTGATTAGGGATTGATGGCACCACACGGTCCTTAAATCATATTAGTAGTAACAACATCATGTAGGTCTGGATCGACTTCATGACCAGGAATCTCGGCACATATAATCATCTATTTGGTCAGGCTGAATTCTTTTCACTAACCAAATAAGAATGTGTGCGTGCGGCAGGCCTCGCTTTTGCCATTCGATTGAATACATCCAGCATCGAGTATCTCCAAAGACGCGTTGTTTAACAATAAAGTTCATCAGGGACCGAATTTTTTGCCTGAATATACGTGCTGTGATGTCGTGTCTATCATTTGATGTTTGTCCGGGAAGCAGCAATTGAGTAATTTCTATCCATTTTGGATTACAGGTAAAAGTAATAAAGAGATAGAGACGAACATATGTCATTGCATCTTGTGCATATTCATGCATATGACGTGGGCTACCAATGTACGTTACCGGCAGAATAGTTAATTGACCAATATTAGCTGCATTTCCTTCAGTACTAACTGCATCACGTAAATGAATGTACTCCTCAGAACGCAGTTTGGCTTGGTTCAACCTAATAAATGTTAAATGTTCCGTTTCTATTTTTACATACATGTCAACGCAATACTGCTGAAACAATCGACGAAACCGCAGCAAATAGTTGTCAGCATTTTGACGAATCATAAACGATATGCATAATAATTCATTGAGCTAACTTTCTTTGTAGTTTCT